TAAAAGGTTGCCACATGTTCATTGTCTCCTGGTCTGCTTGCCCCAACTGCCGCAGCTCATTTGTCTGCCACAGCAGGCAAGCTCGGCAGTCTGGTGGACACTTTTTTTCTGCCACGTGGCTGTGGAGCCTCAAGCACAGGCGCTTCGAATGAAACAGTGCTTGCAGACAGCTGTTCATGTAGCACGTGTTGCCCACGTTCGACAGTCCCGCTCCTTCCACGCACACCTCCTCCCCGCATTTCGACTGCTTCCTTTTCACCTTCCTGCCCACTTCCCCTCGCTGTGGCAAAGCATACCGAATGCGAGCCCACCCAATGCAACCCAACTTCTTCTGGAAGACCACTGGCTCACTCAAAGTCTGCACCTGCGCAAGCCACAACGCGTACGTGCGCCTATAAGGCAGGCGTTCCTCTTGAATCTGGTGTTCTCCTCACAGCCCGTGGAACTCCTCCAAATTCACCTCCACACACTGCCTAATCACTGCGCTGCCATACACTTTCTTCCCGTGTGCTAGCCATACATGGCCCAGCTTTGCCTTGCGACCTCGCACCTCCACTGTTTTGTCGCCCGACAAGATCAGCTTCAACCACTCCTCCCTCAGTATCATGGCACGTTCCCCTTCAAGCGGCGCCCGTTCAGCCCCGCCGCCCCCACCACACCTACCTGGGCCTCGCGCACTCCTTTGCCCTGTCTGCGCATGCCCCCACACCACCGCCCCCATGGCCACACCCCTAGCAAGCACCCGCCACACCGACGCAAGGAGCTGCAACCAGCCCATCCCTGTTGGTAGGAGCAATACGACCACGCCCACCACGCACAGCATGCCCCCCCTCCCACACAGCAGCCCCGCACGTCCTCCCCGCTGCCTCTGCGCATACTTTCTGCCTTGTACCTTCACTCCCTTCTTTTGCGGCGGGCGCTGGCGTCCACCGAGGCCACACAGAACGCCGATCGCAAATGCCACCCACCACCACACCGCCATGTTCGTCGTCCGGGCCCCGTCTGTCTCCTGGTCTCCCACCCTGTGCTGTTTTGGTTTGTGTATATATATATTCTTTCAGCATATATTCGGTAACAACTCTAGTTTATACTATACTAAACCTCCTGGTCCTGCTTCTCGTGTTTCCGTCAGCACTGGCTTTACTTCTACCATGTCGGCTATGTCCTGCACAACCTCTCTTCGAGCCAACACTTCCTATCGCTGCTCCCTGCTCCGCATCAGTCCTGGGTCCGTACAACGGTCTCCAACCATGTGCTGCAGTATTGCCACCCCCCGCACGCCTGCTCGAAGTCCACTCCCACATCGACACCTCAGTTGTGCACCGCTGGAGCCTCTGCCTGTATGGGCCCACTTGTACCCAGAAGCTGTTGACTGGCCCGTTCTGGACCTCTGGGACGTTTTGAATCCCATCTTAGGTTTTTCGTTTCTTTATACCATCTTCGGGGATCCTTCCATCACCACCGGCGCACTCCAAGCTTTCGACCTCCGCGTCTGTAACGGGCTCCGCTTCCACGTCCGGTTCCAGCACATTCCGGCCTCATGTTGCGGCGGCGTCCACGCGGTTTTGCTTGCTTGGTTGTAGGTTGCTGGCGGGTTTCTTGGTTTGGCCGCGTTGTTGTAGTTGGTTGCCACTGTGTTGGTGGATGCATGGATGCATGGATGCATGGGTACATGGACGCATGGAAGGATGGATGGATGGATGGATGGATGGATGGATGGATGGATGGGTGGATGGATGGATGGGAGGGAGGGAGGGAGGGAGGGATGAGTGGATGGATGGATGCTGTGTCACTGGGGAGGGCGCAACGCCTCCCCCGCAATGCAGACCAATCCTCCCCCGCCAAGGACTGGGCAATGCACAGAGTTATGATGAGATATTATGTTGTTTGGTTGCTTGGTTCGTTGGTTGCTTGTTTGGTTTCTTTGCTTGGCCGCGTTGTTTCTTCGTTGGTTGGTCGGTTGGTGGGCACTCCGTTGGTGGATGGATGCATGGATGGATGCTGGGCTGCCTCGCGTCCCGGCGCAGTTTCCGCCGGTTCGCGTCGTTCCGGATAGTCCCTGCGCAGTTTCCGGAGGGTTCTGAAGGGTTGGTCCCAAGAAGTTTTGGAGGTGACAACTACGGGCTTTGCGGCTGCACATACGCGGCGTGAAACTAACCGGAGGTGACATCGTTCTCTGCGCAGGTTCCAGGGGTTACCTGCTTCGCCGGCGGGGGGTTGAAAAGAAAGGGTCGAGGGTGAAAAAGAAAGGGTAAAGGGTGAAAAAAACAAGGTGAAGGGTGAAAGAAACATGCTACAGGGTGAAAATGGCAGGGTGCAGGGTGAAAAAACAGGTTTTCGAAGGGTGAAAAAAAAAGGTTCCACAGGGTGGGGAAAAAATGATTTTTGAGGATGAAAAAAGAAGGTTTCGAGGGTGGGAAAAAAAGGGAGGGTGAAAAAAACATTGTTGAAGGGTGAAAAAAAAAGGGAGCCCATATATGTATATCTATATATATAGAGGTACAGGTGTGAATCGGGAGCTCGCTTGATCGAAACCGCGCGTATCGAGAAGTGCACCAAGTTCCGTGGAATATCACGGATCAAGTCGGGGCATGAGGACCCTGCGGTGTGCGGTCAAAAGATGACTGCGGTGGTAGCGGAGCAATAAGCTCCAGGTAGTTCGTGAAGTGAGCCATGGATGATGGACGAGCCCATATCCAGTTCCACGGGAGTGAGGAGGCGGACACGTTTCCAGCCCCGATGGGGCCCCATAGACCTCGAACGAAGTGGGACCCCAACGCCAGGCGGCGATGTTGGATTTGAAGATTTTGACAGTGATGAGTTTCGTTTCGCCTTCCATACCTTCTCAAGCGCTGGGCGAAGGACATCGGCTGGCTTCAAGATGAACAAGGAGGACATCGGTCGCTGACCGCGATGGACCAGCCAGAGAAGATGGGGACGACAAGGAAGGACTTGCTGAGCTCCTTGGCCAAAATCACATATCACATTCGCCAAGAGCGAAATGAAGAGAGGCACTTCGACGCTTGGAGACCCACAAAAATCAGTTGCCGGATTCCTAGGATTCCTCCTGATCAACGCATTGAACATGAGCGAACAGGACATCAAGAACACGATGAATTCACCCGGAGAAGCATTGTGACCCGGGATGTCAAGGAGTGGGTCCGGAAGCGCGAGGCCAAGTTGGTGGCCAAAGAGGTTGAGATTTAAGCCAACAAGATCAAAAGGACCTCAACGGCATCTGCTCACCATACGACGGTCGATGAAAACCTTGACTACACCGACAAGACGGAGATCTTGGAGGAGGCAGTGTTGGAAGAGTTGGGCGGCGAGGGTGAGAACGTCTTGCAGATGGAGAACCAGAAGGCTCTGGGTGAACGTGAAGTTCGTGAGGTCATCAATGAAGCTTCAAAAGCACGTTCAGTCAGAGCATGAAGCTGAAGAAGGCCAAGGAATTAGCACAGGGCTTGGGTGGGTGGAAAGGCTCCAGGCTCCTGAAAGGACAATGCCAAACAACAAAAGAGCAAGTTGATCAACCAGCTGAAGCAAAACAGCCGGTGCGCCATATAGGAGAAAGTGGGACATTGGCATCCCCTCAAGGGAGAATTGCACCAGGAGAACTACTACATGGTCCTCACAAGGATGGAAGGACAGGATGCGAAGGACTTCAACGACTTGAAGCTGTTCGACCTGGCCGACCCTGAAGAGTATGAGGGCCGTGAGATCTCGAGAAGCTATGAACAAACCATGGAGGCAAATGCCTGGAACTTCAGACCTAAAGCCCTGAAAGAGAATCCACGAAAGAAAAGGAGAGGGCATCATCAGGGTAGCAACAGACGACCTGTTGGATGGAGGACGACCGAAGCGCTGGAAACAGATGGCTTCGAGACAATCACATTACAAGTTGGCCAAATTCACCCACCTTGATGGTCGCTTCGTTGGAAAAGAAATTTCCTGTCTTCCCAACGGCAACTTTAGCGCGGTTGGCCAGGCCAGGAACGCCGACCAGCATGAATGTGGAGAGTCTGCATCCTTCAATAGCCCATGCCACACCCATACGTCCGTGACTTCATGCCCTGCCTGGACTCGGAACAGCACAGTGAAGACTTTTGGGAAGAGCGAGGGGACCTTATGCACAACCTCGACATATCATGTTTCATCCAGGAGCTGCATGTGGAGGACCACAATTGCACGGCCTCGAAGCCGAACGGGCAACATGGATTGACGGTGAGCTCTTTGAGGACAAGATTTTCGCCGACACGGTGACTTGGCTTGGAAAGGACACGCAGCGTTCATGACAGATTTCTTCAAGTTGGGAGGACACACACAGTCAAGGAGGACATATCGTTTTCACCTACAACAAGGACTTAGAGGTTGAACAAACACCTCGGAAGAGCTACAAGCTCAAAAGATGCGCGGTTAATACTTTGGCAGCAGAAGCTGGCTCAGGCGATGATTCAAGGAGTTGGTGCATCTTATTGGTTGAGATTCATGTGGGCCGAAACCAAAGGCACAATTGGCAACAACAAGTCAGCAAGACACCTTTTGTTGCTGCCACGGACTCACGAGCATTGTTTGACAACTTGAGCAAGTCTACGAATGTGGCGGCCCATATCGACGACAAAAGGACGGCAGTAGATCTGATGGTCTTGCAGACTAAGGACAGTTGCGGTGGGTCTCGGGAAACATCATGATCTCGGGCTCTCTTACTACTAAAAAGGGGCCTGCTAAATTTCTCAGGGAAATCATGAAAAAGTCCTGTTGGACCTTGTTGGGACTTGGAGCAAAGATACTCCAAAGAGGTTTCGGCCAAAAGAAAAGCAGAGCGATGTGAATCGGGAGCTCGCTTGGTCGAAACCGCACATATCGCAAGTTCCGTGGAATATCACGGGTCAAGTCGGGCCATGAGGACCCTCTGCAGTGTGCGGTCAAAAGATGACTGCGGCTGTGCTATCCACAACAGTATGTATATATATATATACCCGGCTGGAGCTTACCCGCGCCTGTCTTGCAATGGAGTGAGAAAGCACAGCGCCCAGCCTGCAATCTAGAGGCTTTTACAGGAACCTCGAAAATACTGCAGAAACAGCACAATGTGTCACTTATACACGCTCTTGGATTCTGCACTCAGATTCTGAAGGATTGAAATAGCACGCGTCAAGTCTTGAAGCCTGTGCTGGTTTAGCGTAGTTGCCGGGGTTACAGGGTTAATCCGAGGCATCTGCGCGGTAAAAACGGTAAAAATCGAAAATTTTCATTTTTACCGTTTTTACCGGGGGGGCACCCCGTTTTCTCTGCCATATCCGCGGTAAAACGTTAAAAATCGAGAAACAAAATTGTTTTTTCCCGTTTTCCCCGGGGGGGGCACCCCTTTTTAGTCTACCATATCCGCGGTAAAAGCGGTAAAAATCAAACATGTTCTTTTTTTTACCGTTTTTACCGGGGGGGGGCGCCCCTTTTTTCCTAGCATATCCGCGGTAAAAACGGTAAAAAATCAAACATTTTATGGTTTTATCGTTTTTACCGGGGGGGATCCTTTTTCTTCTACCATATCCGCGGCAAAAACGGTAAAAATCGAAAAAAAAAAATCATGTGTTTAACGTTTTTACCGGGGGGGCGCTCCTTTTTCTTTTACCATATCCGCGGTAAAAACGGCAAAAATCAATTCTGTTTTACCGCTTTTACCGGGGGCGCTTTATTGAAAAACGGTAAAATTAATTGTTGTTCTTTTTGTACCGTTTTGATCGAGGGGGGCAAACGGGTCTATGTTTCTTTTCAGTTTTTAACGGAGGGTCACCGCTGTTTCTTCTGCCATATCCACGGTAGGTAAAAATCGAAAGTTTTCGATCCAAGTGATGTAGGCTTTCATTGCCCTGCAAAAGTTAAAAGTCATGAAATGTTGATCAATCACCAAACTCCTCTTGTCGAAAAGGGCACACGCTCCTAAATGATAGGAGGAGTGAACCCCACCTGGTTATAGGAAGATACCCGGGCTGTAGCATTAAACCTTTTTGTTGACAGAGGTCTTCTAGCTTGCGACCTGGTCCCGAGGCATTCTCGCGGTAAAAAAAAAACGGTCCAAAGTGAAAATTACTACTTTTGTTGTTTACCTTTTTTAATGAAGAGTCGCTTGCTCTTTTTGCTTCTACCATATCGTTAAAAATCAAAGTTGTGTTATTCTCCGTTTTTGTAGGTGGACTTGTCTACCATCTCCGTGGCAAAAACGGTAAAAATCTTTGTTTTTAATCTTTTTTACTGGGGGGGCTCCATGTTTAAATTTCATATCCGCGGTAAAAACGGTAAAAAAAGATTCTTTTTACCGTGTTTGCCGGGGGGGGCGCCCCTTTTTCTCTACCAAAAACGGTAAAATCGAAAATGTGCTTTTTTTACCGTTTTTACCGGGGGGGTGCTCCTTTTTCTTCTACCATATCCGCGGCAAAAACGGTAAAATCGAAAGTTTTATGTGTTTACCTTTTTCCTGCGGGGTCGCGAAAGGATACCCCTCAGCAAAACAACGCTCGCGAACCAGCTTAGATTGAAGCCGAAAAAGGTACCTTGTTCCGCAGCAAGGCACGAAGTCTTGGTGCTTCTGCGGCTAAAAGAGCCTTCAAGACAAACAAGTGACAGCTACCAAAATCCGCTAAGACAAGTCGAAACGTCGTGTTTCTGTCTTTCAAATCATAGCACACATCTTTGGAAAATATACTGCAAATGGCAAACTGCACTGTCTGAGAATTTAAGGCTCAAAACCAAGTAGCATCAGGGCGGCAACCATCCAACCTAGTCTTTGAGTCAAGAATGCATTCCATCCTCAATGCCTCTTCTAAGGATACAGGAAGGACAAGTCTCTGGTTGAAGCAAAGCCCTAAGTGCATGTGCACATATACTATATATATATATGTCTGCAAACATTGCACTATTCCATGCATGTGCTTCATACGCATTTGTACATTTGTCCAGGAATATATAGACATGTATTGTTCAGATATAGTTATTGTATATATGACTTTGAAAGCTTCAAGCAAGGACACTTCCGATCAAAGAGTATGTCGCAGTTGTTCAAATTCAGCAACAAAATCAGATTATATTTGGAACCTGCTTATATTTGTCTGGACCGAAAGAATGGTGACTCCTGAGTCCCGTGCGTATTGGTGTTCCTGGATTTGTTGCACTCAGAGCAGTGATGTGGAGTGCTTCCAAGGGTTCTTTTTTCACTCATTTGCGTGTTATGTTCACCTCTGTTCTTAGAGCTTGCTGGCTGCGGCAAAAAAAACCTACTTCAGGACTTTGGTTTCGACTTCCTGTCCGGCTTCATTGGTGGTATTCGTCTGACTTGTCCTGTTTGGGTCTGGTGTGCTCTTGTTTCCGCTGCTTTGGCCATGGTGAATGGGCCTGATTCTTGTAGGTCTCACTTCGACCCGAACCTTAGTGAGTTTTGTTCTTCTATCCATGCTTTACCCCTTCCAGCGGTTGACTCAGTATAGAGGGCAACACTGAAGTGGACACCCTCATTTGTTAACGAATACCGAGCTCGAGGGCAGGCCAAATTGCACCAACAAAAAGAAAAGCTCAGCGACAAAATCATGCCAAATCAGCCACGAGGCAGGATCAAAAGAACATGAGGATTCCGGCTGGGCGGCACCGACATTCCAACATGGGTGACCAGCTGATGCTTGTTTGAAGTACAGTAGTGCATCAAGCCCTACATGTTGTCTACAAAGTCTGCATGTTGCATCCCAAAATCCTAAATTAATATACAGTGTGTATATATATATATATAACCTTTATGAGATTGTCCTGGAGAAATGATGAGAAATGGTTCAGCGGCTTCTTCGCATCGCACCTCTCTTGGTGTTGAGCTTCACAGCTTCAAAAGTACTTCATCACATCAACATGTCCAACCAAGGCATGGGTTGCAAAGACAGTCTGTGTGCCCGCACATGGCCACTGCCCCATTGTCACTGATCAGAACGGCCCTTGAGTCTCCGCAATTTGCAACATAAAGCTCGGAAGGCGTTCTACGGACGAGTGCCACAACCTCAGTGCACGTGTTTGCTGAAATTGGTCTGCTCCGTCCATGTATGGTTTAACAAAACTTTACCTTGAATGATTGATGCAAGCATATCAGCGGAAATCACTTGTGAGTCTTGAATCCTTTGCTGTCACATGGCCGTTGTTCTCTGCTTGCAGGTTTTGGGAACCACGCAGCTGTGGTGCCCATTCCCTGGGCAGTTACACCGTTGGCCTTGCGCTTGGCTTTGCGAAGAGCCACCCGTCCATCTGCACTCCACAAAAATTCGTCCTGCAGGCACTGGCAAAATTGCCAAATGTCTGTGGCAAATCTTCTGAATCCTCGGAATTTTGTCAAATTCGTCTATGCACCATAGCACATCCTGCTCCAGAAAAGCCTTCTTGAGCGCGTCCTGCAGAGGACATATTTTCGAGGAGGGCCTTCACAGAACCACGTCTATATTCCATGAATGTCATTTGATCGAAGTGAGTCAGTGCACTTTATGGTACCAACTACTTTTCACCCAAAGTTGTATCCAAGTAAAGCCCAACTGAATCCGCAAGTGCTTTGCAAATCTGATCTACACCTTCAATTTAATGGACCTGTCTGTCTCCAACCCGCTCCTTGAAATTGCCAGCTTTATACTCTTCCAGATTCTTCAACGTCCGTGGCAGACGCTCGCTGACAAGCTTGGCCACTGCTTCCCCTGACCGAGAAAATCAAGCGTGTCAGTAAATACTTTGGTGACCAGCTAATTGTCTCCTCTTTCGAATGGCTTGGGTCTCAGCCTTCCCCATACTGGAGTGCAAACACCAAACATGGGAAAGCAACACCTTGCATGAACAAAGTTGACAGCCAAAAAGCCACGCATGAGGTGACGGGAAGATCTGCAACAAAATCATGTACCGAACGAGAGGTTCTACACTCGCCACGCCTCCATGGCCATCAAAGACACCAAAAAGGCTCAAGCCTTTCTCCACGTCGAAGTCCGGAATTGCCACATGAGCATCTTCCATCTCCTCCCACGTTGCTCTGTGAAACGATCACACACGGCTGAGCAAAGCTCCTCGCTTTATTCCTGGGCTCATGGAATGTTCCCTTAAAGAAAATACATGAAAATACGCTTGGATTTGGCTCGAAGGCTGGTGACCTTGCCATTTCGAAGCTTCCCCAAAGAGCTGAAACTAGTACTACGGCACCCATGATTGGCCAAAAACATGGAGTCATAGCCACCTCAGAAATGCTTGATGGAGATGCTCCTCTCGCCAACCCTGCATGGACGCGACACCAAATCGTTCACCATGGCTGCAACTGCCATCGTGGCAGTCCTGCACAAAACTCCCAAGTTACACAAAACTTCTGAAGTAGTCAAGAGCTTCGTGTGCAGTTGGACATCTTCAACTTGTTCAGTCCTGGTGTTTGACTGGCAGTCGCCCCATGGCATCTACATGCTTGCAAAAAACCTTCTGGGTGAGATCCAAATGTAGCCAAGCTTATATCTACGACTGTCTCTGTCGGGTGAGTCACGATGCATCTGTCGAGGGCGTCCACAAGTTGCCTCTTCCACTTAAGCAGGCTCGCAGACTCAGTGTGTGTGTGTGTGTCTGTTTCTTGGGGCTGCGACAAGCAACTTGCAAAATCCGAGCGTTCGAGCTATGCCATGCGGCATCCATGAACATGTACTGACTGAAGCTCTCACGGACCGCGAAACAATGGCAGTTTCCATAGACAGCTACATTGATAGATTGGGGTGGAAAGAGACCGACATCGGGACCCAAAGTCAAACCTGGAAATTTGGGGAGCTCGACATAGCTGGACAATACTCTGGTGTTAGTGCTATACCAATGCTTGTTTCAATCAGAAGGTCCTGTGGTTTCCCAAAAGTCGGCGGGCAGTGCGCCATGGCAAATCATCTCCACCCACATGGAGCCTCAGAAAGCAAAACTATACTGTATTCCCAAATGTCTCTCGTTTCAGGCCCTACTATGTTGTCACTTAAAAGGTCCAAGGGAGCCCTGCCAGCCACACGAGTCGAGTCATTGACACCTCTGATTATAGCTACAGATTTTCACCAGCAACTTCCCCGCCCCAGGAAAGACTGAACTTTATTCCGCCTGACTCTTACGTCTATCAAGCTGCCGTGTGTACCACATTCTTAACCTCAAAAACGATTGTCGACTCCTGCGCTATACCATCTAAACCAACGGTGTGTCCACAGCCATCCTCATAATCTGCCGTCTCGCAAGAACACACGGGTTCACTTCCGGGCTCAACTAGATGTTTCTGTCAATACACCTTGCTCGTTACACACGTGCACTCTCCCAACAAAGGGCAGCAGAGAAACTATGCGCCTGCAGGATGGGTTATCTGAAAGACTAAGTGGGTTCATGTTCACGTTGGGATTGTGAGATGTCCATTTTCGGCTGTACATACATGGCTGCATGTGGATGGGTCTCCAGACAACGGCAATAAGCGAGAACGCTAGAAGGAGAGGTAGCGCGGTCCAAGGGGATGCCTTTGAAGTACTAACAGGATTTGGAATGCAGTATAGGCATGGGTTGAGTCGATGCTTGGAAGCTGCCCAGTAGCAGAGTGCGGTGTAGGAAGAATCAAAGCCCAAGGGTCGCACGGTGAAAGTCGTGGACATTTAAGGCTGATTTGGCCTCTGTGTGGCAACAGGGGATGCAGTCATACAAGAGGGGCAGGTTCCCCAGTGTTGAACAGAATGCTTCACAGTCGGAAAGTCAGCGAGTGGGTGATCCATGCTAACCTCTCCTCTGAATACATGTTTGCTCAAGCAAGGCGAACTCGGTAACTGAAGCTATCCTTCGTGACGAATGCTATGCATACCGTGTACGTATTGACTGGCCACCAGTACTACTTCCGGAGTTGCTTGGATTCTGGCCCGTCAGCATCCACTGCCAAGGCTACATCCAAGCGATCGTCCACTATAAGTGGGATGCCGTGCTGCCGTGTGAGAAATCGCATCTGCAGGGGCAGCAATCTGATGAAAGCTGAATTGGTGTCTGTGATACCTTGCCTTCTCTGCCCACTGCACGTATTGAGCTGTGGAGACCTAAATGGCAAAATGATCTCTTAAGCAAGGAACGTGGCGAGCTGTGACAAACTGTGCGCGTGAGTGAATTTTGAATTCAGGCGAGGTACATTCTTCAGCCGTAGCTGCAGGCAAGTGACACCTCCTGGCTGCAGGCTGCAGGCATTGTTGATTCAAACACCGAGACCTTCAAGGATACCGCCTTCCATACCCATGGTCCAAAACCAGGCCTCGAATGGCACCTTCAACCTGCTCACATGCAGAGGCAAAGAACTATGTCAATGCAAAGTCAGTCATGTCCTTTCGATTCGAGTTCAAAGCTGGGCATATGACCAACACAAAGCAACAAGAGCCTTGTAGTAGAACTGGCCATCCAAGAATGCATCATCTGTGACAAGGTAGAGTTGGTATACTTTTGACCTTGTTCAATGACCGTGTGCACTTGGACTCGAAGCGGCACAAAATGACTGCGAAGCAAGCGAAGCAAAAGCAGCTTTGAGATTCCTGCAGGTCTCGCAGCCTTTGAGATGACACACATCTAGCAAGCCTAGCAGCACAACAGGATTGCAATTGCAATTTGAGCAATCTGCATACCCAATCCAATTCTCAAAGCAGCTCAAAAATGAGTCTTTCATCAGCATTAGAGGAGTTGGTATCCCCTTTGGTCTGACCAAGGTATTGTTGTCGTGAAAAACTTCCCGCGCCTGGCACTTCGCCAAAGTGGTGCCGCCATCGAGGTCACATGTCTTTTTCGACCAATTCAAGCACCGTGCAGCACAAAAGTGCAATGAGCTTTGCTGAAGTTTTCGCAACAACATATATGAAAGAAATGTCCTATTCAAGCTGGCATCTTGCTGTGAAATTTTGGCATCACACTACTGCTATCATGTGTCTGGCTGCGACAAATCGATTTCAGCCATTGGAAGGAAAAAGGCAGAAAATGTAAACGTAGCAGCATTGCAAGGAAACAAGGCAGAACTTTTTTGGTGTCATGTTTTCGGCTCCAACTTGGGCACCTCTTTGGCTTCTCGGCTGAGAGGTTCGACCTGCAGTATGTCTTTCACAGATCCTTTGCCACACAAAATGTTTGTATCACCAAACACCTGCTTTCGATATTCTGGTCCTGATGTCAGCCTTTGAGTCATTTAAGGCTTTCGATCTTCCGAGCGCTTCACCAATCGATCTGGCGCCTGCGACCTGAGGAAAGCAAGAAATTGCATTGGAACTGCGCCTCAAAACAACAAATATGTTCGAAGCACCGGAACAGTATTCACCCAACTGTGAAGCGCCAAACAAATCATTTTTCTCACTAAACAAGCTCCGCAGCTGCTCTGCGGCAGCTTGCGCCGTGCAACGTCGGGAGGGCTCAGCCTACAAGAAACCATACTGTAATCAAAAAGATCATGTCTCATCTATATATATATATATATGTATACATATATACATATCTTTTATATACACATGTATATATATATATACATATGGGGATGGGCCAATACCTGCAGCCTCCCACCATGTAGCTTGACCTCCCAGGTAGGTCAACCAACCGGGGCGTCAAAGACATCTCATTTCTTCAACAGTTTCGCCTAGAGACATCTAAGAAAAATAACCTAGCATGGTCAGGATTTACACTCGATCTCGTTAAAGCATTCAATCTGCTCCCTCGTCGTGTCATCTACCACTTACTAATATACCACGGTGCCCCTCCAGAGGCAGTGGCTTTTTGGTTTATTAACCTAAGGCGTATGACTCGACGATTGCAAAATCGTTTAGCTGTTGGCGATCCTATCTACATGACTACAGGTGTGCCCGAGGGTGATAGCTTGTCTGTCTGTGGGATTCTGGTCCTTTCCTCAGCATTCTACTGGCTTTTGCACAGCCCCAATCTCGAGCCCTACTGCTATGCAGATAACTGGTCTTACCCTATCAGTTCCCAGCGGGAGAACTACCAAGCTTTCCTGAAAATTCGTCATTTTGCATCACAACTCCGGCTTCAAATAGATTAAAGCAAATCTTGGGCCTGGGGAACCACAAAAACTACACGCGATTCGTGGCGAACTATTCTTGAAGAGATCCCCAAATAGTGCGCATCCTTAATTCTGCAAAGGATCTTGGTTCCATGTGTCACTACACCAAGCAAATTACGTTAGGCCATCTTAAAGAGAAGTTTGCCAGTGCTACCGCCAGATGTAGACGTCTTACCCACATTTCGACCGACATTACACGAAATGCTCGTTTAGTCCAGACGTCCATATGGCGCCCATGTTAAAGATCTCAGAAGGATCCACAACTGTACGTGTTGACCACGGCTTTATCCTTTGTTCGTAGACTATTCGTGTATAACTCAGCCCTGGCTCAGAAATCTATTGATGCAGTGAGCAACCACCCAACAACATTGTCATTAATCTTACATCTGAGACCCCCAAAGAAATTCGTACATGGTTGAGCCGTGCATGGAGCCACCATGTCCACAAACAAATTGAACATCGTAAGGGAGTCACTGATGTGCCTTTTGATCAAGATTTGATGAGCTGTTTGCTTCGAAATTTTCCCCAACTGACCTCAAAATCGTTGCTCGAGATATCACAGGGGGATATCAAGTAGGAACCGTTAACGCACAATAGTCTAGCACCACTGATGGTAAGTGTCCTTTTTGCATCTTTTTGCAACGCATTGGATACACACGAACATCGGCAACTTGAATGTCCTAATTTCCAGCATTTTCGAGCCAATCATCCGAGTGCAATTCAATACCTGCAAACAAATCCGTATATGCTACATTTCCCTTTGCCCATCCAGCATAAAGCAGTTTCCCAACTTCGGGAATTTATATCACAAAGAGGACAAGCAGTTACGGATGCACGTATTGATTCTTCCACCCAAACATTGTACTGCAGATAACCCGACTCTGTCAGAATTTCCCCGGGCAGCATGGTTGGTCATTCAATTTAATCCTGATAATAGTGCCATTCCTTTCACAACCATAGAAATACAGCACGTCCGAGGTCCTCCTCCAGAGCCGAGCTTGCTGCCATTACCTGGATTATCCCAGACTGCGCAACCTTGTAATTACAACTGATTCCCAATACGCCATTACAGCAATCGAAAATGCTACTAAAAACTGTCAACGACCCTTAAAACAAGATACAGCGCATGTAGATTTGCTCCAAATCGTACGTAGGCATTGGCGTCCAGGTCAGTTCATTCTCCGAAAAATTAAGTCCCACCAGGATATTCAGACGGCGACAAACCTTTGTCAGTACAACGATATCCGAGGAAATGATTTTGCTGGCACAGCAGCCGTACACGCTCGTCGCACCGATTTCGCTGACAGAAACACCCTTTTTGCCACTGTTGAAAAGTGGAATCAAGCCCAAATTCGTCAGACCATTAGTATTCTCAGATATTTGCTTGACCTCAATCTTGCACATGTTGTCATTAAAGAATCCAATAGAAAGGAAGAAGCAGACGGGCAAGACCATGACCCAGACCAAAATTGGGGCACCATCCAGCAGACTCGTGCAACATACACCGTTGCTGATCCGATTGCCTTGCCTCAGCCAGATATACACCCTCATGTGTTTACTGCCTGCTTGTGGGGGTGCGGATTACGCGAAAATGGTTTTGTGTTTCTTTCAGTCGCTTGTATGGCCAAATCCTGATGGTTCTCATGACACGGTCACAAAATCCGGGATCACGCGGCACGAACTCGCTATTGCGTTCATTCTTCAGACGGGGATGCAATTTCCATGTTGGATTAAACCCCCTAATAGATCAAGAGCGCGTCCACACCACTACCAGGACCCGAAAGTCCTTGCCTTGCCCGCTAAGTTGCGCTCGCTTCGAGAACAAGCAGATGCATTGAGAATCATCATCCAATGTTTGCAAGGATTCAGTTCCGTGCCATTGTATCCAAATTTTCACAAGACAGCCTTAAATAGTTTGGTACAGGTTGGATGGGGTCGTACATACACTGAAGGATTTCCCTTGCGCCCAGAAATCGCTAATTCAGATATGCCCAAAAAACTTTGCAACTTTATGCCACTAATCTTGGCATTAAACATCCGTATCATCCACTTGGAATGGTCCCCATGACCCATAGCAAGGTGTGCATTTATGCAGAGCCAACTGCGAATCTTGAATATTCCCAATGTTACCACTTTATAGTAATTCAAGAGAAGCTTGGAACAAAGGCCATTCCCTCGATGCGCTCGTGCCACCACCGGCTCCGAATTAGGTTGTTTCGTGTGTTTTTCACACGGAACGTATAATTCATGCGAATCAGATCAACCACACGTCGATTCCATGGTGTACAGATTTCTTTAGCTTACATGCCACACTCCCAGATACCCGATGAAACCGAAGGGTCTTGGGAAGCGCCTCAGACAGAGACCGCAAGTATCGTTGGTAGGTCAAAAAGAGCGGAGTTGGCCGCAATTGCATGGATCATGTGTGAATGTAGATTAAAGAATATCACACACCAAGTAGTCATTACCACAGACTCACAATACGCCATTAACGCAATCCACAATCTTCAGATTCCATTCGACCAAGCTACAGCACATGCCGATTTGCTTCTCATTATGCGTGACAATTGGCGACCAGGCCAATTTGTTCTCCGACAAATTAAGTCCCACCAAAATATTCTTGAGGCCACAAATTCGTGCCAATGCAGGGATATTCAAGGGAATTCTTTTGCAGACGCAGCGGCTGTTCGTGCACGCCACACAGATGCACCTGACCACCATAATGCATTTGGACAAATCGAGAGATGGAACCGGGCCCAAATTCATCAAACAATTTGTGTCTTAAAATATCTTCATGATCTCAACCTTGCTCACATGCGAATAAAGAAAAAGTCAGACAAGATAATGCGGCAGATACGCACGAGGACCCCGGCCAGAATTGGGGAACGATACACCAAACAAGAGCCAGCTTTGAGATTTCTCACCCAGAGATTCTACCCTTACCTGATATTCATCCACGTGTGTTTACAGCATGCTTGTGGGGAGCGGATTATGCCAAATTAGTTCTTCGCTTTTTCCGATCCCTGCGATGGCCTAACCCGGACGCTCCTCATGATGAGATCACCAAATCCGGCATAACATGGCATGAGTTAGCCATTGCTTTTATCCTCCGAACAGGATTACAGTTTCCATGTTGGATTAAGCCACCACATCGTTCTCGTGCCCGCCCACACCATTTCCAAGATCCTAAAGTGTTGGCACTTCCATCTATATAAATTGCGTTCGCTTCGCGAACAGGCAGATGCATTGCGAATCATCGTCCAGTATCTCCAAGGTTTCCCTAAATTTCACAAGACGGCTTCCAGTAGTTTGGTCCAAGTTGGGTGGGGTAGAACATATACTGTCCTTTACGACCAGAAATTGTCAATTCGGATCATGTTCAGAAAACCTTGCAACTTTACGCCACTAATCTTGGCATCAAACCCCCTATCGTCCATTGGGGATGGTACCGATGAACTTTTGTAAAGTGTGCATTTCAGTGAAAGCTACAGCTAACCTGGATTATTCGCAATGTTACCATTTCAGAAAAAGATAACTGAGCGTCGACGTGCAGCATGGTCGGTGGTTCAATTCAATCCATGTAATCACGATGTGCCATTTCGGACCATAATATTGCAACATGTCCAAGGTGACCAGACGACTTCCCGTGCAGAACTGGCGGCCATCGCGTGGGTCATTCAAACCTGTGCCAACCAGTCAGTCCAACAACAGGTTGTGATAACGACAGACTCCCAGTATGCAATCTCTACCATCCAGGCGGCAGTCCAAGACATGTCACGACCCTTACCTCCCAATGTCGCCCATGTTGATCTCCTAAACAATATTCGATTCCAACCAATTTGTGTTAAGAAAAGTCCGTTCGCATCAGCGATATGATCTTGCAACAACCCCCACCCAACGATTAGACATTCAAGGGAATGATTATGCAGATATTGCAGCCGTCCAGGCACGTAAAATTGATAAACCAGAGATCCATAAGCTCTTTGCAGACATTGAAAATTGGAATCAAGCACAAGTTCGCCAATCCCACGCAGTTCTACAATACCTTCATGATCTAAATTTGGCACATATTGTACTTAAGGAAAGTCGCAAAGATAAGGCAGCAGAGCCAGACCACGAGGACCCAACGCAGAATTGGGGAACCATCCACCACTTGCGCTCAAACCTTCGACTCTGTAATCCCATTATCATGCCTATGCTCAGTATACATCCCCATGTTTTCACTGCCTGCCTGTGGGGAGCCGGTGTTTCAATCCATTGAGTGGCCTAATCCAGATATCCCACAGACGCAGTCGGGCAATCAGGAATCACCTGGTATGAATTGGCTATTGCCTTTATCCTTCAAACAGGGTTACAGTTCCCGTGTTGGATCAAGCCTCAAAATCGATCCCAGGCATGGCCTCATCACTACTTGGATCCCAAGGTTTTGGCCCTCCCCCCAAAATTGCGATCCTTACGTGAGCCGGATGCCCTTCGCATTATTATTCAATACCTCCAAGGTTTCTGCTCAACACCGCTATACCCCAAATTCCACAAAACTGCCTCCAACAGTCTCGTACAGGTGGGAAAGAACGTATACCGGTGGCTTTCCATTGCGGCCGAAACTAATCAACTCCGAGGCGGTTCAGAAAACACTACAATTGTATGCCAAAATCTGGGAATCAAACCACCCTACCATCCGCTGGGCATGGTTCCCATGCAATTCTCTCAGGTGTCTATCCAGGTTGACCCGGTGGTCAATTTAGATTACTCCCAGTGCTATCACTTTAGGAAAAAATTAAGGGCAGTATGGAACAAGGGAGGAAACCTCGATGCTCTGGTGCCGCCATTACCGCACCCTCAGGGGGCGAAGGAACCTTCAATTAGATGCATAAATTTGACGCAGTGGGTTGCTCTCGCTACGTGCTGCGCGGATATTTGGTTTCATGTAGTTAGCAGAGTGATCACATGATTTGTATAGTCTTGGACCGTATCCTTCATACAGTGTCCTTCTTTTCATCCCATGTGTATAGTTTACATGGTAGCTAGCAATCTCATCTCACTCCCAGGTACCCACGCGCAGGATCATTGGAGCGCAAGTCACGTCGGTAGGTCAACCAAGGTATCCTACTACTAGTATAACCCACAGACATATCATGTGACATATCTATATATATGTGTATATATATATATGTATATAATAATCAAACAGGTTTCTATTTGTTAAGTCAATCTTATCTATGACAAAATGCTGCAGAAATCTATATGATTGATGCGGTGCACAGCCAATTGCTTGCCTCCATCATGGAGCCTAGAAGCTGTGCCAGTGGCTCTGCCTGCTGCTTTGGCAGGTGCTCCTGAAGCCTTGCAAGGAAACTGCAACTGCACATCGAGTAAAGGTATTTTGACCAGTCGCGGTGTTCGGGGATCATGACCAGATGAAGCTACTAGTAACAAGTGCATCGATATCAGTAGCAAGCACTCTACTAGTAACAAGGTACCTTACTGCTAGAAACAAGAAGCTACTAGTAACAAGGTGCATCAATCGCTACTAGTGGCAAGAAGCTACTAGTAACAAGTGCTGACTTGCTTTGGCCCGGCCATCTGTTCAGCCCAAGAGAGGCATGTCCACATATTAGCTGAGCATACTGTCTCACCACTCATTGCATGAGTGGTGAGGGGGCCCAACAATAAAACATGACACCCGGCACATACAACTTTGTCAGCACTACATTTCAGTCATGAAAATGTGACCATCCTATCAAAACAACTGCAAAGCGTAGAAGATATTTCAAGAACTGCTACTGCTTCAGCCCTACCTTCAACCATCGCTTAATGTCACAACTCTGATCCAAACGTACCCCGTTCAAAGGCTCATGTTACCCAAGGCCTCTCCAATAAAGAGCAACGGTCCAGGTGATGCATTGTCACCTGTCAAGCCCACAAGCTCCATGTTTCTTGATTCTACGCAGCAAATGCATGCATGACAAATCGTGATGTTCAAAGACGGAAAACAAATCTCACATAGCCAAGCTTGCAGATGTTGCCTTGCTGCTAATGAACGGCCACATCTCGATCGAAGACATGTCCAATCCTCCACGCAAAATGGGAGCAGAGTCTATACAAACGCCGGGCTGCAAACATTCCTCCATCTTGGTCCAAATCGTTGGGTGGAGAAAGGAAGGCCCGCAAGCGACGACTGCGCACCAACAAGGAGTAGGGCAACGGCCCCAACCTTAGGTGCATCGCCGTATCGCAAAGTATTCAGTGAGGTTTTAGCCTAACTCATGCGAAAGCAATGAAAAGCCAAGTGACAACTCCACGATTTGTGCTAAATGTTCTGGCTCTTGTGGAAAACAATCTCGAGCCTTCCAAGCGGAAAGAATCAGAAAAGCGAAGCTGCGTGCATGTATGTGTGTGTGTGTGTGCGCGCCCCAAAACTACAGGAGACGCATGATGCGGGAGATTCAAATAACATGTAACAAACCGACCGCGTGAGATGCGGTTTTAAAAGGAATTACATCGGCATAGTATATGGCATAAACCCCAGATAGCAAGTAAGTAAATTTAAAAACCGAAGCACCTGAGACAACAAAATCAATTAAGTCACCATAAGACAAAAGAAGTGGGGAGACCAGTGGGCGACAAGGAGACAAGGCAGCAGCGGCCAAAACGCGGATCAACCACCCTGTCATTGAGAAGTGAGAACCCCTATAGCTTTCAGCTATCTGGTGAAAAACTGGAGTCTTTGATGTAGAGGCTTCCAATCCAATAATTACACGAAAACCTTGCAAATAAAAAGATATTGGAAAAAAGAAGCTGTTTGAGCCTCTTTAACAAAGCCCCTTTCATAAGGCCCCTTCTTTAAGGAGTCAAATTTCAATGGACCACCTTCTACTTTTCCTCTCTGTTTGATGTGAAAGACAATTTTCTTCTAAGTGCAGCGGCTTGCAGTGTCTCGTGGGCAGGGCAGCATGTGTAAGCAGCTACTTGGAGGCTGTATGTCTTTGGCATGCCTGCCAACATCGTGTAACAAGATAGCTCTGGAGCCCATATATTGAAACGATAGGGATGCAAGAATTCCAAACTACCTTGAGATAGGTGTGCTTTTTTAGATTGCAGCTACGGCCATGCGTGCCAACAGTTGAGAAAAGTAAATCAGAGAAGAGAAGCCGCTACCGAGACAGGATAGATGTTTCAAAGGTTGCAGTTGCCAAGGACATGCCACACCACCAATCTCAATGTTGGGCTCCAGCTTTGCACACTTGTGGCGACGGGCCTTGATTTTGTTTGTCCGATCCCTGTCTGTTCCAAGTCAATATTCATATTCATATTTCTATGAGCAGCATAGCTCGCTGCAATGCTCGCCGGCTTGTGCAAAAGGAAAGGGTTGGGATAGACCTTCTGAGAATGGTCAACACACTCGCCACCTCTTGACAAAGACCACAGCTGGAGTCTAATCAAAAGTCAGAAGAAGTTAGGGAACACACATGCCTCTGGAAGCACATTCAAGTCAACCGTCGTAAAGTGGTGCACAAACATCATTTGCGGGCTTCTTTCCTTCCGCATCTTTTCTACTCCTCCCCGCCAGTTCTGCTCTGTCCAGTTTTCATCTTCTACTTGATGTCATGTCCTTTTTGATGTCAAGCGGGGAGCGTCCATCTTGTCAAGAAACAGGGGAATGTCGTAGAAACTGGGCAACCAGGCCTGCAGTGCTTTCGGTCTGGCTTGAGCATGTCGCGGGTCAAAGAGATAGCCTGGACAGCAACCACAAGGAAACGGTTGATAAGAACAAATTCACACGGGTCTCCCATCTGCAAGTACAACCCAAACAACTCAGCACACTTGCCAAGAGATCGCACACAAATGTCTGCAACATCTTCGACCTTCAAAATCCTTCAGTAAAGCGGCGCCCTGTGGCCAACTCGTAGATGGTGCAGCCTAAAGACCAAATGTCAGCAGCGGTGTCATAGCCTGCATTCATGATGACCTGAAGCCAATTTGCACGGCGAGACAGCATCTCAGGGCGGAGATGCGAGAGCAACAAGCTGATTTTTGTCTTGCTAATCGGCTAATCTCCCGCCAAGCTTTGATCCACATGAACAACATAGACACCTGCACAGAAACATTAGAAAACCACAAAAATTGCCGCTGCCTCTACAGGCTTGTATTCCAGCGTGGTGATATTCAAGGCAATGTGGCGATCCGTGTAACCTTACAAAAAATGAACTTTGGACTTGATGCATCAGTTTGGAATGCTGCTTTGATGGATCCCCGATGGTCACTGGTCTCTTGGTTGAACTACGCTACCCAACACTCCTGCAAACATATCGAGGCTGTATCTGTGCCTAATTTCAGCCTTTCTGCGCTCAGGGGTAATTAGCCTTCTAAGCACTGGCTGGGCTAGGAACAGCTGTTTCCAAGATCAACCAAGCCGAAGGTGGCATCAGAACCTGTGCAGTGCATGAGTATGCTCTTGTTTTGCAACATATACTCACTCGTCTGTGTTGCATGATGAGATATTGGAACAATTCCAGACGCACAAAACAGTGCATTGCAGGGACAGCTCCATTGTGCAAGGTCCTTCCTCATGGCCTTCCTCATACTGTCCGGAAAAGGGCAAGCAGCAAAACTTGAAAAACATTCTGGTAACAAAGACGCTACTAGGGGCTCCTGGCCTTACAAGGACGCTACTAGGGGCTCCTGGCATCGCTACTAGTAACGCACCTTCCTCAAGAGCCAAATCTATGAGTTGCATCCGCCCACATCTGCGTAAAGGTTGAGACCTGGAACAGAAGCTCTTTGTCGCTGCCGCTTGCTTTAGGGGCAAGCGGGAGATAGCAAAGGAAGGTCTACACAGTTTCTCCTACACATCCTACTTTGCACATTAAAAAGGGGCAAATTATGGGGTGGTTTGCCAATAGGATAAAAGCAGATCCTGCGTTGTGCGTGCTCAGAGTTGAAACGGCTAGTAAACTGGGACATGCATCACATTATGTCTTGGAAACCTGGGAGTTTCATAGGATGGATATTGCTGGTGTCGTGCTTTCATAAACAGTAACCAAAAAGAGCTCTTGATCCAAGTAGAAGTTCTGTGAATTAGTGCCACCAGCCACCTCAATGATTGATCTTGGAACTGAAACAACTGAGTTGAGCTATAGACATTATGCTAGCATTTGTCCCAAGTTCCAAGTCTCAATGTGGACAGTGAAATGCCAATCTCACAGCGCCTGAAACTCTGCATGAGGCAATCCATTCGGGAGCCTTTGGTGAAAGTGAAAAGTATGTTCTCGGGCTTGATATCCTCAAGTTGTGCAGCAGGTCAAGCGGTGGCTAAAGCGATAACATGCGCTTGATAAGCAAATCAGCCGCGGGTCTGTGTGGATCACGGAGCATGTCCTCGGTGGAGTTTTTGCTGGGAACACTCAATACTCTATGTTGTAATCTATATATTACATATATAATATACGAGAGATGGCGTGATAATTCTAGAGAGCAAACAAACTGAGCATCTCAGCTTCCAGCCTGTGTAAGTAGTCCAACCCAGTCAAAGTATCCCTGAAGGCTGCGACAAGAATAGGCCAAGGAAGTCGGTTGCCACGGCAGCGCCTTGGCCACCGGTTTCCATGCAAAGTCTTCCACTCGGAAAGTGTGAAGCTTCAAAGGAGCGCTGAAACTGTCCGAATTGCAAGGAGCGCTCTCGGGCATTCCGGTTTGAGACCAAAGCCGAAAGTGAGGGGTAGAAATAGGAAGAACCTAAGACACTAATATGATAGTGGCAGCGGCAGCAGCAGCACGGGAACGTTTAGGAGTAGCATGGCATAGCAGTACTGTAGCTGGAGCAGAAGCAGGACCGGCAACTCACAGGCCTTGACGAATTGGCATACTAGGGCCTAGGGTCTCACATTCATTGCTCCTGCTGTACTACGCCTACCACTGCAACGACGCTGCTACCAGTACCATTAGGACTACACCACTACAATTTTTGACTAGTAAACTAATATCAGTACGAGTTAAGACCCTGTGCAGTTTGGTTTTGAATTGAGCAAAAAACGTGAGTGCTTCGAGCGGCTCTGCGACAGACCAAGCGGAGGGACCCATCACTTCCATTGCAACGCAAGCATGTTGACACTTCAAGCCGCTGTGTACAAAGAGCCTCAGGTGATGAGACATACACAGGCTCCTTCTAAAAGACAAGAGAACTCTGACGAAAACTATCTGACATCAAAGAAACATCTTCAGCTGTGCAAAGAAATGCCATGTGGCCATGTGGCCCAAAAAGCTCTGGCAGCTCCTGCGGTCGGTTTCCTGCGTTCGCTACAGTTTGGAGCATCTCCACCTGCACTGCGTATCATTGCCTCTAGAACGACCGACTGCAATTATATATATTTTTTTTCTCTATTCCTCGGTATTACCGACTCGGTATATCACATTCGTCAGTTTGGAAGTCAGCAAGACAAAGAATTAATGTAAATGTGGTGCATCAAGCCATGGTGAACCTCTTCTTGTGCATATCTTTGGTATCTTTCCACCGCTTTGTACCTTGGCGAAAAATCTCATAACCACTTCGAGCATGGGACGATGAGTGACCTTGGGACCTGGCACTTTGAGTGCCACTAGGCTGTGCCTGTCGTGACAAAGCCAGACTGAGGCAAAAGCGCCTGCACGTTGAGAAGTTCTCAGGTTGCATGTGACCAAAAAAGACATACTGGATTCCTACCAATATTGTCAAGCCCACCAGGTAGCATGCACAATCTCTGCGCTTTGTGTTGCAAAGTCTGCGAATTTATTCGAAGGTGTTGCCAAAGAGTTCTGCGTTTGACCAATGAAAATTGGCAACTTTTAAAGTGTTAACGCCCCATAAAGCCCATGTCGAGCCTGTTCCCAACTTTCCTCGCACATGAAAGCGGTCACAAAGAAGCATCCGTGGACGAATCTCGTGTGAGCCCTGTCACAATTAGACTGCAAATCATACACTGTGTGAGCTCATTGAGGGAGACTAATCTTTTCTCTCGTGATTCTGCTTCTTGCTTCTCACTCTGGACAGAGCACTGAAAACGAATTTGCTTTACACCAGGGGGAACTAACACAGCTTGGTGCGGAACCTCTTCACATTCTGCAAGGTCTTCGGACGTGTCTGTTGCATCATCTGCCCTTGGAATGGTTGTGGCAGTGTGGAAGCTTGACACTGAATTGGGAAGGAAAATACGTGTATGACTGTCCCCTATTCACTTCTCCCCTTGACAAGCCCAGTAGCTTCCTTTCACAGTCTGAAACAAGCCAAACAAACCAAGGACGGACAAAAGCTTGAGGTCGCCACTGTTGTCTGACATGCTCAGCATGCAGTTCTGCAGCAGCATGAGCACCTGCCTTTGTAGTCCAAGTCAGCGTGCAAATCAAGTAGGAGTTTGTGAGTATCACTCATATGATCCCATATTAGCAAAAATGATGTCGTCAAGACACCACACGCTGTAGCCTCTCCAGCCTCGCGGTTTGCAGCACTGGAGCTGCAGTCGCTGCTGCTGCTGCCGCTGCTGCTGCTGTCCCAGTCTGTTCGGTCGCGGCTTCGGCTGCGACTGCGGCTGACGCTCATCAGCAAAATGCATTGTGATCAATTGGGTAGAGCCTCTTCTAGTCAAGTCCCAACTGTTGTGCTAATTAGGGTGTCTCTGGCATTTTTTGTGCCTTCTTTTTGATATCCGGAAGGAGTGTCTTGGCAAATACATAATTATCTCCACATACAAGAATACCAAAAGTCTGTTGCTTGCAAACTCTTGTCCACCGGTTTCTGCCTTTCACAGTACGTTTCACTTTCTGAGCATGGTGGGAAGGGTGAAGCAGAGTCAACGATGGTGTGGTATGGTTCTGGAGCCTGCTTGGAAATTGAGTAACCAAAGCAACTAGGTTGTTGCTTTATGTGTCATGCCAAGTCGTTGCCGTGTCTTCACCCTGAGTTTGTGCTTCAAGAATATTCAATTCGAACCCAGTCAGCTGCAGCTCAGTCCATTGTCACCAACAAGCATCCAACGTGGCGACATGGTTAAGGCAATCTATGAGCTTTGTGAAGAAGGTTGGCTTTTATTTTACGGCGATTGTAAGTCTTTTTGCTGTTCATCAGCAGTTGCGGCCCAACCACGTTCCTTCAGCATGACCTCACGCCTCTCACGAAGCTCCCGATCCAGCCGTCGAAAGAGAGGTGTCTTCATCGCGGAATTTGTGCTGATCTTGGACTGTTTTAAAGTCAAAGGGACACAATCAAAGTCAAATTGAAAAAGAAAAATCCAAGAATAATTTGAAAAAGTATCTTGTCTCCAGCCACGCCACGAAGAAACGCCGCAAAGGCTCCTCACAAACCGTCGGCAGTGCAGACTCTGGATCAGAAGGCACGGAATTCCGATGGGGATCAGCATTTCCCACCTGTACCAAAGTGCGGTCGACTCAACCTATCCACACAGTGCGTTCCCTCTCGAGTCACAATCGATTTCAAACAAAACCGAGTCGAACCACCTCTTGCCAAGCAACTCCGAGACACCCCAACAATCTCAATTCATCTTTCAGACAGACTATATCCTGGCAAAGTTCCAACAAGAGTGTCCTGCGAATAGGCCCGATGCCCCAGCCTCACTAGCTGGTTTCAGGTGCTCTTTCTCATACTCAAATGCCTGGACAACCATCTCAAATTTGTCGATGTCCTGCACAAGCGTTGCACCTTAAAATATTCAAATGATGGCCTTTGATCTTGAAAACAAACCTTGCAAGGCTCCAGGATCCTTGCAGTAGATCGCCTCCACTGTTTCAAGCTCTTCATACTCCTTCCAAAGCTCGTACAGTTCGCTGCCCAAAGGGTCTCCAACAACTTTGCGAATCGCTTGCATAGCCTGATCCTCCTGGGCTGAAGATTGCAGAATCCGAAGGCTGTGTTCAAAGCAATTATGTTCTTGCTAAGCACTTTCAGCTGTTGAACTTCGCTTGACTCTACGCATCACACCCTGTACTTCTGTCTATGCAATTGATCTGCTTCCTAGTTGTACACCGGCATGTACTGTGGTTCAAAAGCACTGCAGAGGAATGAACGCACAGGAATAAAATGCACGTCTGCACTGCATCTGCGCCTTCTGGTGCTTAGATGCCACCAGATCTGCATTGCAGTATGGCGTGATGTCACCTGCAAGGGCCTCACAAAGGTCATGAGTCACTGTCATCCGCAGCAGCCGCACTTTGTCCACCTGAAAGAATGCTGGCGGTCAGGCACATACTCTTGACAAATTGAAACAGCGCTGTACGAAGCATGTCGACTCCCTCTCATTCGCTGAAGGTGGTTCCAAGGCATGCACATGCATAATCAAATTAAATACTATATATATATATACATACGCATGTGGATACATGCGCAAATGTTGCCAAACCTATCCAAATCTGTATGGCCCTTTTGGACCTTGTCTGGATGAAAGCGTTCAGCGCCAGAGTAGTCGTCGCGAGGGTCAGGCGGCTGGGTAAGGAGCATGGCACACATGGCGCAACGATGCATATGATCCGAATCGCTTTCAGGCAAAGGCACCTTTCTCATGACCCAGCCAGTCCTCACAGGAGGGGGCCACACCGGCAGGGAGGGCCACACAAAAATCCGCCCGAAAAAGAATCGAAGCAAAACTTGCCAAGTCCTCTTCAGCTTCTTGAGTGTGCCACAAATGTCTGAGACAAATGAAAGAGCATCAGTCGAATTTGCTGCTTCAGTTTTTGCACGCTTGGGCTTCGTCTCCATGGCAGCTTTGGGAAGGCAACAAAGCAAATGAACGCAGTCACGGAGTCATGCATTGCATGTCTTGCCTTGCAATATTCAGATGGTGCGTACATGCAAGTCGGGGCTTCCCTTGCAACACTCTGCTAGAAGGCTGTCGTTGACTGATCAAAAAAAGAACTTATCACTATGATAACTCAAAACTCTTCTTGTCGATGAGCCTGCTTGTGTATGATATGAATGGAACATTAAAGTGAAGAAGTCAATGGAACATCTAACAAAATCCAACGCTCACACCCCTGCAAGACTGTTCTGAGGTCTCCGGCGCACCGGTGTTGCTGGCAATGCCTATCCGGAGAAACTGCGGGTTCATTCTTTTGATCAAGGCACAAAAGCCAAAGCACAAGCAGCAAGAGCCTTATGCAAATCCAGCAGAACATGGCGTACACTTGTGGTGCACTCTTTAACTTTTGGACTCTTGCAGTGGTTGCAGCCCTTCAGGTATGCTCATTTGTACAAGTTTCTGCACCCAGCCATACACAGGGCACTGAACAAGCATCCCCACAAGATCCACAATTTGGCTTCGCGACACTGCGAAGCTGATGCCAGCTTGCGAGGCTCGACATAGCTACATGGCTCAAAATTCTGTGTGTGTGCGCCTCAGACGCTCCTAGATTGGAAGTCTCAACATAATTTTCTGAGCAAGTCTACCTTCCAGCAGGAAACTCAGCAGGACCTCAGCTACTGTCGAAGTTGCCATTGGCTTGCTGACGGTGTGCACAAATCAGCACTTGTTGCAAGAGATTCGGCTGGAAACAATTTCAAACCTCGCGACATTCTCAACTGTCACATGCATGTATCAACCAACCACGCAGTTCTGTGCTATTTTTGCTGCACACATAATCAGAATCTGGTATGATGGAAGATTGAATCTTTGCTTGGAATGGATCTGCTCACAATGTGTCCAAAGACGCTTCACGCAAGCCAGACTCCTGATGCCAAGAAGCGTTTCCTACTGATGCTGTCCGGCTGTGGCAACGTCCGAACTCGGTCTATGTAGCGGCTGAGGTAGTCCTGGAAAAAATAGCATTGCTGGAGCAGGTTGGGCGTGAAATGACTTGGTCTGGTTTTGGAGCAAAGCTCAAGTAGTGCGACTGTGCCAGTGTGCCAGTTTGGGATTTCCGATCTATCTCTCTTTCTCTCTCCCTCCCTCCCCAGCTTTGAGCTGCCTTTGGAAGAACTCTGGAGATCTCTCGGCGAATGCTGCTGTAGGTCATCTGGCAAAAGGCTTTCAACTTTGCTGGCAGCAGTTGGGTCAATTTGTCAGCAACAACATGTGTCTGATTTGGAATCTTGCAAGCTAGGACCAGCTAGGAGCCTAGGAGCTACAACTTGTTCAACATCTCCAGACTTTGGACTGCTGGCAGAATCCACTGCACCTTGGCATAGCCTTCGCTCACCTTCGCAGCTTTGGCTACATCCTCCAACCTCAAGAGCCACAAACATTGAGACTCCAAACAACAGGGCTAGTAGATGCTTTCCAAATCTGTCTTAGTGTACGTGGAGGTAGTCGAGTCTATGGTTGTGCCAACCTTCTCCGTGCCTTCAAGTAAGCATTTCATTACATTCCTCGAATCATTCTGGCTAGTTTAGACACATGCAAATCAACCTGCAAGTCGGTCCTCAAAATGTGAATCTTGGTAAATTTACCGCAGATTCCCATGACCGTCACCGTCAATCAAAAGGATGAATCCAAAGAATTTGGGCCAAATTCGGGCTCCCTTCTGCTCCCTGCGGCCCTCGCACCTTGGTTTCTTCTCCACGTCCAACAGCCAGGCAACGACAAAAATTGCGCTGGCCATTGCACCAGTCACAACCGATCGCTCCGCCAAATCCTGAGAGCTGGTGAAAAAGCTAAAAGAGTCTCCCTAAATAAACGCTTATGTGAAACTAGATGCAAAAAGGATGCTGATGTTGGTTGCTTCAACTTCACATATCACTGCTTGCTGCGCTGTCTGACCCCGCCTTGCCCGTTCTTACAAGTCTGTGCCTCAGCCAATGTTCTGCAATATCTAGAGTCTACAGCATGAAATCAGTTCAATGTCACCAGATCACAGACATCTCTGAGTCCAATAATGTCGGCAAAAACACTTCTCACCTGATGCGTCCACTACCCTGAGGGATGGGCTTGAGAGCTTCAGTTGCAATGTGCTTTGCGGGTTTCACCACCTTTCCAGGTCTTGGAGTCAAAGGTCATAAAATGATCACAAAAAAATAGCACGGAAAGGGCACCAAATGCACCGGATTTGGGTCATGCCAAGGATTGTTTGCGTAAGGATGGGCCAACAGTTTCACATGGAGGTTTCTTGCCGCAGGTCAAACAATGTCAGCACACACGTATGTATGTATATATATATATATTCGATGAGTCTCGATCAACATATGTCGACTGCTGCTACCCTTTTCTGCGAATCGATTCAGGTCTGTACTGTCTGTACTGAAGTGCTTTGGTTTGAAATGCGACCCACGTCGCTTGTGTCATCTGACATCTGACACTCTCCCTGTGGGAGCACTCCATCCGTATGTAGTGACCGAGAGGATACCGCAGGGGCGGTCCTACGGCCACAACGGATGCCAGCTCTGGACAGAGCAAAATGAAAAGATTAAATGAAACTCCCTAGTCATCGTCAATACCTGGAACCGGCAGGGCAGGTATGATGGCTAGGCGGCGGTCAGCCGAAAATGGACAACCGGACGGCAGCGGCAGACAGCACAGTCCCAGTCTTTCATGGCCGGCAGCCCAGGCTGCAAGCGTAGCAAGCATAGCCATGGTAACTGAAAGTAACCCAAAACACGGCCCTCAAGCACCAGCAAGGCCACCGGTGAAATGACTATCACCAGGAAATCAGACTCTTCCGGCAACAAGCCAAGTCAGCCACCAGCTCGACCAGCACCAGGTGGACGTGGAAGTAACTAATAGGGTGTGGCAGGGTGGGAGAAAAAGTTTAGCTTGAGGTACCAGCAGCGACACTGCTCCTCAAGGGGCGTCTCCCCAGTTTGGCTTGAGCATTCAAACATTGGGAGACGTTGATTCGAAGCTTCCCAAATAATTCATCATCACCGACCCTGCCTACCTTAAATGATTGAATATATTCGATGAATCTCGATCAACATATGTCGACTGCTGCTACCCTTTTCTGCGAATCGATTCAGGTCTGTACTGTCTGTACTGAAGTGCTTTGGTTTGAAATGCGACCCACGTCGCTTGTGTCATCTGACATCTGACACTCTCCCTGTGGGAGCACTCCATCCAAGGCACTAACGTATCCAAAGCACTCAAACGAACTGAAAGACCTGAGCGATGAGGTGGTAGGGCAGCTGGAGGAGCATGAGCAGGGGGTAGGTGTGGAAGAGACGAAAGTCATGTCGTTGGAACCACGTGTCATGTTCTCCCTGTCTGCTGATGCCATCTGACCAGTTGTCCTTACTCTGGACCCATTCAAAGTAGCATGCACTACGGAGTGCAAACAGAAGGCCATGGATAGCCCCGGCCATAGAATCCAGCTCATCGTTGTTGCTGCGGCCTCGTATGAGGGCCATGAGTGCAGCGATATTGTCAACAAACCAAATACCATGCATTCCGCGAGCTGATGAAGCATTATACGCAAGGCCCATGTAGACTGTCAAGAGCTCAAGCTGTGCAATCTTGGCCTCATGATTGGACCACACCGTGAAGATCTTTGGGCTGATGTGGACAACATAGGCCCTTCGACTACCACGGGGGTCAATGAACAAGACTCCCGCCGAACCCTCGCGAGGCCTCTCTTGCGCCGCATCGGATGCAGCCAAGTACCGGTGTCGTCGCACTGGATTAAACGGTAGTTCTCTCTCAGGCTTCAACTGAAGTAGTGCCCGAATTCGATCAAAGGATTGTTCAATCTCCGGTGTCATCACGACTTGCGAGGAGTATTGTCTTTCCTTGATGCTATGGAGGCCCGACCGGCCGAGCTTGCCGAAGCATCCCGCGGTCAAGAATCCCAGGCAGCCAAAAAGTTTGGCCGCCAGTCCTGGAGGGAGGCGACGCGTCTGAATGGCCTCCTCCATGATGTCAGTGACCTTGGTAAGCAATCGGTCACGGACCCAGAACTTAACAGGCGCACCCTGGTGGCAGGCTGCCACGTCGTGGATCAACCCCAGAAAGTCAGACTGGGCCGCCAAAGACTGATGTTTCTCTGTTTGGAAGGGTGAGCCAAGGCATCGTGCAAGTTCATTGACGAAGGCCTGGCCAGTGCCGCCCATAATACCCAAATCCTGGATTGTCAAGTCATCAAAGTACATGCTGGTCACGCAATAGGCCAGGCGGCGGCATGCAGCTTGGAAGAATCGGGGAAACCGATTGAACGAACATACAGCATTTGGTAACCCGAACAGAGAACCGTAGTATTGCCGAAAACGGGGGCCACCAACGTGGTGGTCGTAGTAAGCCACCACGGCCATGTTGCTATGTGTCGGCTTCATGGGGACATAGCGGTAGGCGTTGGGTAAGTCTTCGACCCCGGACCAAACACCAGCTTGCAGCAACTCAGACGCATGAGCCGAAGAGGAGGCTGCCTGCCATAGCAATTGAACATGGAGGCCAGGTTGAATGCTCGTACATAGATCCAACTTGTTCGCATCGGAGCTGAGTGCACTTTGCCCTCCGTCTGCAGCGTCATCGATGACTCGCAGCTTACCAGAGGGTTGCTGTATGCAAAACCTTCGGATCAGTCTGAATTGGGGGAGTTCCTGGCATAATTGGGCCCAGGTCATTGGGGGGCCACAAAAGCCTTTGGCTTGGTCCTCCTCACCCGCCTGGACAATAGCCGTGTCGTGTTCGCCTGGACGGAGGCTTTGAATGATGCGGGCAGCCTCTGGCAGGGCGTCCTGGTAGATGGAGGCGTCCGGGATGTAGTGGGCTGGTTGAGCCTTGTAGACGGGCACATGCGGGGAAAAGCCCACGGCGGGGAATCCATATATCAGGTTGGCCACGAACGTAGTGTCTGGCCATCCAGTAATCAGCATGATAAGCCCAATCAGGGCGATGTGGCGACCTCGAGTGGCTGATCGGACAGGTGGTGGCTGATAAGCTTGGAGGTGGTAGGCGATAGGCCACATTCGACGACTCAGTTCCTGGAGCCAACGGCCTGTACGTCTCCTCACCTCACGAAGGCCCACTCCCTGGGCTGCATAGCCAGATGCTGCGAAGATCAAGTCATCATCGACAACACCCATGGTTTCAAATGGGGTAGGTCTCTGCTGCAGTTCAAGGGCGAGTTCAAAATGTCGCTCCTCCCCTACGCCAAAGGGGATCATAGGTGGTAAGGCTTTAGCAGCAGCAGCCGCTCCGGGCTGCTGAAGGCCACTCATAGCAATGGCGTTGCGCTCCAATGGGCCCACCAACCATGGGCCAAAGGCGTGTCCGTCCCAGTCTGAGCGGTTTTGCATGTAGTTGAGCCATTGGTAGTGCGAGTCATCCACTAGTAGGTCTTCGAGCATGGGCCACTGGAATCCCTCCCAACTGACATCTGGACAAAGGGCCATGAGGCTGGCCACCACAATTTCCTGAGAGAAGCGCAGCGGGACCGCCCTGGCGGGGCGAATGCCGGCAGCAATGAGTGAGACCCATCGCAATTGCTCCCTGGTGGGATGGGCCTGGCCTGAGGGCGAAGTAGGACGTGAAGTAGTCCAAACCAAGGCTCGAATGATATCCCCATGACATAGCACGTTGTGGGGGCAGTCGCACACCAGAGTCTTGCCATGCAGGGATGGGAGGCGAGCCAGAAGATGGTCCTGGTCGGCAATCCATCTGGCGTAGTGAAGAACACTCTCAAGGGCAGTCCTGCCTTCCCCTGTCCGGAAGGGGTTTTGCCATTGCGTCAGTGGCCAACGATGGGAGAAGTGCCCGGGGCCGATGTACACGTCCATGTCTGTGAGTTGTGACCTCAGCTGTAACACATCGAATGCGACTTGACGAGTGGGCACATGGGACGAGTCCTCTCGTGGTGGTGTAAGGCCCAGGTGGAAGCCCATGACATTCATCAGGTCTTCTCGCAACTCGGACGGCTCGAAATGGAGCAGCGGTCGTACGTCCCTGAGGTGGTGATGGGCGGTAACCTTGGGATGGCGAGGATACCATAGCCCTGTCGTGCAGCCCATGCCGTGCAGCATACTGCTAGGGTGAAGACCAAACTAGGTGTGTACTCCGCTTCGTTGAAGGTGGAGAACTGCCCATTACCCGACGAGCGCCACTCGTTGGGGTCATGACTGTGTCCACATCGAACGGCCGGGAGGGAGGCTAACTCAGGGATGTTGTGGCGGAACTTTTGGGCTTTGCGCCGAGCTCCCCCGAAGACGCATGCATCGTAGTCCAAATCCTGCCAATCATCATCCTGGCACAGGTACTGCTCGACCGGGTCCCACCAGTGCAGAGACCTGAGCGGGTTCTCGCGAAGACATGCGAGGTTCTGTTGATGCCCCCAGTGCTGTAAGGCCAACAGATAGTCACTGGAGTAGTTGTCAGCATCGACCCGTGCCTGTTGTCCCGCGTCCAGTCCCGGTAGACCTTTTGGGTATTCCTCGGACTGTAGAGGAGGGGGGCCGGGCCGTTTCTCCCTAGCTCTTGATTTGGTAGCGCAACTCATAGCTCCCGCAATAGCCCGAGGAAGCACCGCCTGAATGGCCCGACGGACCGCCGGACGCGACACGTCCAGGTCCTGGTCGATCTCGATGTCAATCGGTGTGATGATCTCCCATTGGCACCACAGGAAGGCCTTGGACAACGGTGCATGGACCCCACTGAATACATCAAGGAGGACGGGGCAAGGTGAGGCTTCGGTCTTGTGCATATCAGTGGACTCCAACTCGGCCAAAAATGAACGAAAGTCATGAAAGACAGGAGTGTCCAAAGATTGGCCTCGCCCCCCCCAACAGAGGAGCGGCCCTCTTTTCAAGCAGCCTTGGGACATCCGGAGGGCGAGTGCTGGTAAGACCCGCAGACCCGTCCCGATTGCAACACGACGCCGCAGCGGTGTGCACCACGTGGGCAGTTCTTCTTGGTGCGGCACTGATTGCGCTGGTATGCCTGACAAAGCTGCGTTCCATCCCGAAGGCTGAAAACCACCGACCCCATCGGCCCTGCATCCGCAGGGGGGGCCTTGGCGGGCGACGCACCGCCAGTAGTTGTACCCGTGGTGATGCTGGGGGCTGGCAGGGCCCCGGCCAACCAAAGGGCATCACGCTCCCTCATGATGGCGCTGATAACATTGCCGAGTGTCGTGTGGCCCGTGCACCGGGCTGCCCACTGACCGCGCTCTTCCACATCAAGGTGTTGGACCAACTGCAGGCGCCGCCCCTCCGGGGTGCGCAGAATCAAATCATGGCAGCGGCTGGAGTAGGACAGCAGGACGTCATAGGGAACCTGGACGTAGTGCACACTGTCTGCACCGAGCGACTCAGGCGCAGACGGCGCCGGCTCCACGGGGCGACACCCCACAATAGCCAAGGCCAAGAAGTAGGTGTCCATCTTGGCCATGTAGGAAAGCCAGAACTTAGCGGTGGTCTCGTCCTCATCATCCTCTGGAGATACAGGTTGCCCGTCAGGCGTCGACGCTTCTGGCTATGGGCGCGCTGAAAGGTGAGTGAGCGGACTGTCCACAAATCCATGACCTCGAACTGGCTCCGCGTCAGCTGTCGGCTGAGCTTAGACAGAAGTCGGTCAGAGGGATACTGGCGAGGTTCTGGGCGCAAGTGGTAGCGTCGAAAGAAAGCCTCTTTCAACTGTTCGAGCTCCTGTTTGGGAAGGAGCGTCTCTTCCTCCGTTGGCGCTGGAGGCAGACTGGCCGCTGCGTGCTCGGAGTCCAGTAAGGCTTTGCACGCCGTCCAAGCGAAGCGCAGCCTAGCAGCCTGGAGGCGCCCCTGCATCTCCTCATAGGCCGGATTCTTGATTGTATCGATGAAGAGCTTCTTGATTTCATCCTCACTGCGAGCATAGTGGCGGAATTCCGCAATAGTGCGAATCCCCAACTCAATGATCTTGTCTTTGATGCGCTGCTCAAAGTTGAACTGCAGCGCAAGAGCTGTGAAGGTGTCCTCCGGAGTAGCGAGCTGCTTGGGGACGGTGGCCATGATCCACAAAAGAAGACGGTAGGATCAACGAACGATAGAGAGCAAAGACGGCTGCGGGAGGTCACAGAAGCTAAGATTGAACGGAGACTGCCAACAACAAAGCGATGCTACAGCGGATAGCAAATGGAGCACAGCACAGTGTCAACCCTTTTTCAAAAACTCAAAGCCGTTCATGGCATAACTACTGAAGCCGCTTTGCAAGCTCCCCGAGCTCCAAGCTCAGGCATTGCAGCGCTGGCCAACCGATAGCCTCGCCTGCCGCGTGGGCCTCGTAGTGGGCGGTATAGAGCAACTGACGGAACGGAGCGCGATCGGCCTCATGGAGACTATCATGATGATGCGCCAAATCATCACATGTAGTGTGGACCAATGGGGCGTAGGGAGGCAAAGTACCAGGTCTCGGGGCCGCCGGCCACAATAGCCCTTCCAGCCTAGGCTCTGGGCGCGCTGCTTCCCTGGGCAGGTCTTGGATCTCATCCCACCATTCAAGGCCATGCCCTCAGTGCTGCAACCGTCGCCGGAGCGGCCTCAGCACCTACAGGAGGCGAATGACGCGGCCTTTGATGCAGCAGCGCGGGACCGCTGGCGCCGGCCCGGGCACAGCGGCGCCCCAGAGCCTCCCACGCTTATCTTCCTGGGTGAAGCAGGCAACGGCTCTATCTACTTGGGCGGTCTGCCCACGGACCGGGGCTGGTTGGAGGCCCACCACATCGGCATGAGCCTCAGCGCTATGGACAAGATTGCCGCCGACTGTCGGGGAGGGGTCAGCGCCCGCCAGGTCTACCAATTTAACGTTCCTGTTGGCCATCAAGGAGCCCTCCGTGACCGCCAGTTGAAGTTGGTGCTGCCTATCTTCCTGGCAACTCTATATTCGGGCTACTCCGTCCTGGTTCATTGCATGGCAGGGGTGCACAGGGCCCCTGTGCTGGCTGGTTTGCTACTCGCATGGATTAGGCGGTGCTCCTTCGAGGAAGCGTACTCCCGACTGGAGGGTTTGCGGGCTATCGACCGAGCCGGTGTGCTCAGCCGGCGGGGCGGCTCTGATATCTTCAAATGGGCTCGGAGCCAGGTCGACATCACGCCACCGTCCCTGCCGAGGTACCCAATTTCATTCATTACCTCTACGAAAGCAGGATCGCACTGGCATGTGGAGCGTGACAACGCGCCCTGGTGCAGATGGCGCCAACGCAATGCTGCCTATCGAGGCGAAGTCCACCGAGCTCGCAGCATTCATGAGGCCTTGGCCTATGGGCGAGATTTCTGTATCACATGTAAAGCAGTGCTTCTTGGCAATGCCCAGGTCCACTTGTACTAATAGCTGCAGTCCTTCAGAAACAGCACGCCTATACCGGGTAGGCCGAGAGGGCGTCTCGCGTGCTATGCAACCTTTTGCCTCATTTAGGGACTCGGCGGCCGGCCCGAGGAGTAGGTCCCTACTCTGAACGTCGATCAAGTTTTATAGTCAGTTCTTGCATGCTTGCTGCAGCTTCTCGTGTCCCAGTGAACTCCGTACTACACGCCCATACCTTGTGCCAATGGACCGGCCTCAGGCGATCCAGTTCGTTGCCGTGACACTGGCGCCCTTGGAGGGCGAGGCCAGACGGGCCCGTGCTTGGGAGGTGGGGGATCAGATGGACCAGGCCTGTCGGGCCTTGAGGGCCCTTCCCCCGACCTCCACCTCTTGTCTAGGGGTGGTGCAGGTTCAGTTGCGTGCTGCACGGAACCTATGTGAATCATGGATGACTTTGGGGGCCGGAGGTGTCGCGCTGGAAGGGCCTGCTGCTGCCGAAGATGAAGATGCCCGACGTGAGGTCGACGGCAAAGGTGGTGGCGCCCGCAAAGATGGAGTAGATGCCGAAGCTGATGAGGGCGAAACCACAGGCAGCATAGGTGGCACCTTTGGCGGAGGTGCTTTGGGCGGCGTCACCGGTTGGGCGCTACCGCCAGCAGCAGCCCTGGGTGGAGGCTCCACCCGTGCCCGCTTCGCCGGCCGCGAAGGACTGGTGAACGAAAATGTTGACACCGTGTTCCTCGGCCCCTGTGTGGGCTCGGTCACCGGGCCGGCAGCCGCGGCTGGGGCCGGGCGCTTCCGCCTGAGCGCGGCAGTGAGGCGTTGGCCAGTAGCTCGAATGATCTGGACCTGAGCTGGAAGCAAAGTCTTGACCACAGGCATGCCAGGGATGGAGTCCGTAGAAACCCGGCGGATCTGGGGGTCAGAAGCAAGGAGCTTGTCAGCCTCCTCCATGCAAGTGGACCATCGTGCAGAGGCATAGCAGTTCGTCCCACAACGCCATGTTGAGGTCCTGGAAGCAGTGCAAACCGGCCAAGCGCAACTGGTGTCCCAGGCGTTGTTTCCGTGAGTCATAGCGCAAAGGGGTGGTAGCCGTAGACTTGGAGGACTGATCCACCCATTGTCCAAGAGCGAGTCGCTCTGTCTCCGATAACCCCACATACCCTGCCAAGGTCGGAAGCACTCGGCGGAACGAGTAGGACGAGAGGCTGGTAACGTCCATAGCCGCACTCAGGTATGGTCGTAGGATCCGAACACACTGCGCTGTGCCCACCGGCTGGGCTGTAGCAGAGTCGAACCCCAACCAATGCCAGCGCCTGAAACCGGCGCCTGTTCTGGGGCGCACTTTGTTCAAATGGGTGCCCAGCACCTGTAGGAGGTCCAACGTGCCACAATACCGTGGAACGCTCCAGGCGAAGCCTCCACGACTGCCAGTCTTACCTTTCGTGCACCAGAACACGAGGATGCCCCCGTTACCGCCGACCAAGTAGCTCCGTTGCAAATGGGTGTACCTGACCACCCCAAAACATAGGGCGTAGGCACAAAACACCATGGGCCAGTGAGGACTATCAACGGTGGATTCCAAGGTACCCAACAGGTGGATGACCATAGACGGTTCCAAAGTCGCCGCCTGCGCCTGCCCCTGGCCGAGGCGCGATCCCAAACCAGCCCGAGGTTTCACCACTTCGGAGAGGTCGAAGGGCAACTTGAGGTTGCGGACGAGCCACCCCAGAGCCGTATATGCCCTTGTAGGTGACTTGTGCTCCCGGATGAAGGTGGCCAGGAGGTGTTTGTCCGGGATACCTCCGCCTGCGGCCGCAATGGCCCCTTGAAGCTCTTGCCACGTGTGCAAAGCTCGTTTCACAGTGGCAGCCTCCGCCTTCTGGAGCACGTGCGTGAGCTTTGCCTCGAAGTTGGCGGTGATCTCAGCCAAGCGAGCCGCCGGCGGGGGCTCGACTGCCAGAAGAATGGCCATCAACTGGGGCAAGAAAGTCAATGCACCGCCGTCAGGGCCGCCCGACTGACGGCCCTGGGTGCTGGGCCGGACTGGCCCTGCAAACGATGGAGTAGGTCGTGGCCGCAACGGTGGAGATGTGGTAGGCCGCGGCGCAGCTTGCGAAACTTGTTCGCGGCGAACGATGTCTCGCACCAAGGCCCCAGCGCCCAGCTCCGCTTCGCGGCGCGCCTGGTCCCAGGCGTCCGCCACAGCGCGGCCCTGCTTCAGCGCTTCTTCGTAGGTAACGAAGTAAAACGCCAAGTCGGAGGGCCGTTCAATCCCATGGGCAGCGCACCACCGCTCCAGCTTCTGCTGTTCGGCAGAGCGGCGGATTTGCTCGTCAGCGCTTTCCATGGCGTCCGAAACGGGAAGAAAAAGTTTAGCTTGAGGTACCAGCAGCGACACTGCTCCTCAAGGGGCGTCTCCCCAGTTTGGCTTGAGCATTCAAACATTGGGAGACGTTGATTCGAAGCTTCCCAAATAATTCATCATCACCGACCCTGCCTACCTTAAATGATTGAATATATATATATATATATCTTTCTTTTTACCTTATATACTATATCACAAGTGCAAGGCTGACTCTGGTACAGCCCAAGCTTGATGCTGTCCATTGAGCCTCTGCAGCAAGACCCAAGCTTCTCACGTAGTTTTTGTAGAGATCCTGTCAAGGACATACTGGCCCAAATTGGCCCTTGGAACCTTTCGAATCGGATATTTGAGTGCAACCTATATAATTCTGTCTGCGTCTCTCCTCGGTCTCCAAGTATGTCGCTCTAGCGCGGTCTAGGGCCTTGGTCGTTCACGATTGTGAGGCGAGTTGGTTCTTCATCGCATGGTATCCTTCACATCTGTAGACAAGCCCAAGGTAGCGGCAGAGCAAAGGGCGTCGTAGTGCTTTGTGATGAGTGCCACACACTTTTTCTTGGCAAGAAGTGATTTTGGACAGTGGGCAAGCTTCAGCTCGGTCTATTCACAGCTTGCCATCATGTGCTGAGTTGCACACTTGCTGCATATCCTCCAACCGTTGTCGGAAAAACTCCCCTAATTCCTCCTGGCTCTGGCAAACGACTGTTTTATGGCAAGATCATTGTATGAGAGCATCCAGTAAGCCTAAGCAATGCTGTGTGTGTGCAGCTTTTCAGGCTAAGGATTGTGCAACACGATAAACTATTTTGAAACAGTGATCGATGTGATTAACAGGCAACGAGTTATATATCATTCACAATATGTCAACTCAACAAGTGGAAAAGCTTTTGTGTCACACAAACAAAATTCAAAAAAAAACTGCAGGGTCACAAGAGATGTGGACTTCGTCGGAGGATGTTTACTTCTCTGGTCATGCCAGTCATGCCGCATGAGCGTTTTTTGAACAGTTACAGTTGGCACCACGAAGACTTTGCAACGTCCAAAAGCCTTTAACCCTTTTGCCAGCCTCACCGATCTGACCCCACGACCGGACTAGCAGGGAGGCCTGCGGCCACAAAGTTTCATTTGAATCATAGACCGTCAGGTCTTCCTCGATCAACTATTGAAAGTACTCTCCTTTTCTCCCGGGCCTGATCGCCAGGGACTAGCGCAACCTGACAACAGCCATAGTCCGCAAATGTTGAGAAACCTAGAAAGTGTTGAGTCTATTGAAAAGGCTGCTAAAGAAACATATTGACCCAGTTGACAACCCCAATAGCAAAGCATCCACCAAGATCTGGCGATTTGTTGGGTGTGCATTGTTCGATGCGTGAATTGTTTCACTTATCGAATATCGAAGACGGGGATTTAAAAAATAATGACATCGTAAAGTGCAATCCCGTAGTAAAACGATATCCAACCAAGACACCGCCATTGACCGAGACACCACCGAATCATGACCGAGACGCCGGGACACCACCGGGCCGGGGGCCGTGGATCCGACGAGCGCCTAAAGATGTAGAAGTAAAAAGATGTAAAAAGTAAGCAAATCAAACTAGTAGGCACTTGTTACTACTAGTAAGGCATTTGTTACTAGAAGCGATGCACTTGTTCCTAGTAGCTTCTTGTTACTACTAGTAAGGCACTTGTTAGTAGCAAATCAATGGACATCAAAGAAAGCACTCACTGTACTGTTGCGACAAACGCAATGCCATGTGTTTCTACAATCTCCTGTTGGCTGAGGGATCCCAGCCTTGACATTGCCTATTACCACCTCGCCTTTCAGCTCTTTTGCAATAGACGCCTAGAAAAAGAATCAAATCCGTTACGTGATGAAAAGCAAGTAGCCCTTTGGGTCGTTTGTCGGGGTCAAGCAGTGCTTCTGCAAACCAATCTGCCTGTAGTTGAGGTTTGCTATTTAGGAGATTCGGTTCAAAGACCAAGCTCAATCTTCATTCTGCAAGATAACATTTCAAGAAAGAATAAGACTGGTGACTCTGTGTCTCCCTTACCAGACGCTCAAGCGTCATCTGTACTAGCTAGCTTTGGGAAAGCAAGCTGTCAAACATGGCTCCAGCTGGACCTGGTTGAAAGTGGCAGTGATGATCCCCTCTTTGCGCTTCAATTGTGGAGGCTCCACCTGACATACAGTTTGAGCCTGGTGCTGCAACTCTACCAATCTCCAAACAACAAGGCTCAATGTCGTGAAAAAAAATGTGTGATTGTATCACACGAGTGGATCGCGGTTGCTTTTTTTTCGCTTTGACGTTCTTACTCTTTGTCCCGCAACTGAAATGGTTCCAAGGTGGGGCCCTTTGTCTCAGCCTCACCGTCTTCCAACGCAGTCCCACTCGTGTCCAATTGGCGTCTTCGCATAGTCAAACAGTCTGTAAAACGGTTACAATTGCATGGAGTTTGGTCGAACCTGTCATAGTCTACCTTCTTTGTGAAATCTCTTGGTGTCTTGTATGGTTTTGTGTGTCCACTATCCTTTCTTAACTTTCCACGTTTCATCACCTTTCTTTTATGTTCTCCGTGTCAACTTCCCCACGATGCTCCTTGTGAGTTGAAAGCTGGTCTCTTTCATGCACCATATCTTTACGTGTGTTGCAACCATCAGGAGCTCCCTTGTCAAGGGACAATCGAGGATCGCAAGAAGGTATTTGGAAACGTGAATTCCTTCTTGTGGCAGCCAAGAACAAATTGGACTCCCGCACTTGACGGAAGCTTAGGACCAAGGCAACTCTGGGAGACTTTTTATGGATACTTCACCTTGAGCTTCATGGCAACAAGATTCAATTTCACCAGCACGGCCGTGTGCGAACTGCGGGCGAGCGATTACAAAGTGTGTCATTGGTGTTCCCTTATTGCCACCAACCCCACGCATGTTAGGTAGAGCGTTCGGGTGCATGTTCTGGACAAGTGGGGCACCCTGTTCAGCAAGCCGCAAAGCTTGCAAATGGCACTGATACATAGCTATCATTATCATTGCATCCAACAGCATGAGTAGGATCTCTTTGTCATGTTTGCAGGTAGTTTTCGCTCAGCCATAGCTGGCCATGTTGAGAGGAAGCAGCGAGTCGTGCTTGGGATTCATGGATTTAGATGTCAGTCCCGATCTCAGGCGTTTTCAATAATTCAACCGTGGAGAGTAGATACTGTAGTATTCTTTTAGGCTGTGAGTAGGCTTAAGCCAGCTAATGTAGGTTAAGTTAAGTAACGTAGTACAGCAAGCAAGCTACTAGCTAACAGAAAAGGGCTCAGACTTTAATGATTTGGTTCCTAGATGTTCGGCAAAACTTAACTTGAAACTGGATTGCACAAGAATCCCGATTGCAAAGCCAACTCGCAGGCAACAGCCCCTCCCTGTCCGTTCGTTGTTTGAGGCTTTGATGTTGAGCTTGCTCACAGTGCTCACAGCTCGCATAGTCCAGTCCAAGTGAAACAGAAGCAACAAAAACAGTATCTCCGTACAGAAAAGTCGGGGAAAAAAACAAAACACACACAGGCTGAAGCTAATCACGCGACCCGGCACAGAGAACTGATTTCTTTTGCAATTTTTCTGACTGAAGACCTGGTGTTCCCAAACGGATAGCTGCAGAATCAACTGGAAAAGTCAAGAAGATGAAAGAAGTGCCACTGAGGTTATATGTGACATGAAAATGCAATAGTTGTTTTCAACAAACATTCCATCTCCTCAAAGGCGCCTTGTTGGTAATGTACTGACGATGTGCGTGGGCAAAATCATGAACAGTCTTTTTGCCGTACGGCTCCTGACAAAGCAAAGGAATTGGTATTAGTATAATCCAAAAAGGGCTACATAACCACCCGCAATGGCAAACTTGCTAAAGCAATCAATCACAAACCTTTTACCAGTTGCTATTCAAGGTATTTCAAGGTTGTGGTGTGTCGTCAACCACGATCTTGACAGAACTATGAGAGATCCGTGTTATCCCTGTTTACAATATGCGTGGCATAGCAAAACCAGTGCTCCTCCTCACAAGCGATCTCCACCAATGCACAGTACCAGGCAGTCTGAACAAAGTTGTGCTGGTATTGAATTGCTCCACTCTGACTGCACCAAAATTGGTTCCTCTCCAAAAACATACAGGCTTGCCTGGTACCTCTCCTTGAGAAGGCCCTTGGCGGCCAAGTCCTGTGATAAATATAAATGGTGGATGATATCGACCATAAAATAGATCCTATAGAAAAGCAATATTTAAATATTGGTCAAATCGTGGTCTGGTTTTTTCGTATGAAAGAGCGGTGGAAGTTGAATGATGTAGGACGATATGAATAAGAACACTTCACCGCTCCTGCAACAGCACAGTGCAGCGGTTCACCTGCAGGGACTTGCTCTGATTGCTCACTCACATACTTCGGCTGTTCAGGCTCGGACGATCTCCTCCCCAAGATTCAGCCGCATCGCGACTTCTCGAGCCTTACGATGAGTTTGTGCAGCAAGAAAACCGTTCCTTTTCACTCTACAAGTCTATGACAATGATGGACAAAGCTTCTCTGAAGGTCAGCTGTCCAAAGGTCACTTGAACCAAAAAAACACTTCCCTACTGCCACCACATGTACGACATAAGTCTTGACATATCAGAGCTTCTTTCAACTACGATTGGAAGCACTCTCGATCCGACACAAGACCAGCCAGAAATCAAGCATCGACTTGGTTTAATGAGCACAAACAGGTGTTTTCTGGAGACTTACTATGGAAAGG